CTCAGATCAAGAACCTGCTGTGGCTCCTTATTGTCAACCACTTCAGAAGCCTGTTTCTGGAGGCTTCCCAGTTTCCATTTTAGGTATCTAACCTCGCTCCGCTACCCTTGCTCCCCCAAATATGTCCCACATTCAATCTCAACTCTATGCTCAAAGTGTGAAAGATTAAAAAAAAAAAAGGGAATAAAATACATCCTGTCTGCCTTCCCTTATCTACCAGGGTGGCTAAGCTCTGCATACTTTGTTAATATAATAGTAGTTTTAAATGATAGCTTTTGCTTGCGGGTTATCCTGCCTCTCCTTTTTTTTTTTTTTTTAAGATTTTATTTATTTATTTGACAGAGAGAGAGACAGTGAGAGAGAGAACACAAGCAGGGGGAGTGGGAGAGGGAGAAGCAGGCTTCCCGCCGAGCAGGGAGTCCGATGCGGGGCTCGATCCCAGGACCCTGGGATCATGACCTGAGCCGAAGGCAGATGCTTAACGAGCCATCCAGGCGCCCCCTGCCTCTCCTTTTTTAAGATTGGAATTCTGGGGTGCCTGGGCGTCTCTGTCGGTTAAACCTCTAACTCTTGATTTTGAGCTCAGGTCAGGATCCCGGGGGTCGTGGGATGGAGCCCCAGGTCTAACTCCTTGCTCAGCTCAGGAGTCTGCTTGAGGATTCTCTCTCTCCCACTCCCTCTGCCCCTCCCCCTGCTTGTGTGCTCTAAATAAATAAATAAATAAAATCTTTAAAAAAAAAAGATTGGAATTCTAATTTTGCTCATAGTGGTGACCTCAGTTTTAAAGGTCCCCTTGCGGCTAGGGGGCCATGTGACACAATTCTGGCCAGCGAGATGTACCTGTGAGTCTCTGGGTGGGGCTTCTGGGAAAACTTGCTAAAAAGGGCCAACCCAGCGGGCACATGCCCTTTTATCTTTTGGCATAATTCATTGTCCTTCTTCAGTCTGGAATGTGGACCCACTGCCAGGAGATGGAGCAGCCAGAGCTTGACCATAAGAATGAAAACCTCATTCTCGGATGGCAGAGCAGGAAGGGAGATGGACTGAGTCCCTCATGGCCTCGAGGAACCATGGTACAACCCGGGACTGCCCACCTCCTAGGGACTGCTGTCGTCTAGCTCCTGCAACAGGGGGAAGCTGCTGCAGTCGAGCTTCTGTTACATGCAATACTGACTTGTATGCTGAGATTTGTAGAATGTAGCCGTCTTGAGAATTCCCAACCGTGAAAAATGGCCCAGGAATGAAATCACAGTGTCAAAAGCCCTCCTATGCGATAAGCTTGTGCTCATGGGGGATTATGTAACACGTGGACACAGTACAGAAGACGGGTCTGTAACCCAGGGCAGTTGAGAGGGCCACTCCTATTTTCTGAGAAAGGGAACCTCTCCTGGCAAAAGCTATGGAAGGAGATAAGTAACTTGATGGGCTAAGAGGGAGCGAATGCCAGAAATTTCAGTCAAGGACTATGCGATTCTGCTGCTAATGGGCCAATCAGGACCAAGATGTGTTTTACTCAGTTAAGATCAAAGATGCTCAGATGAGGTGGAGGGAAACCCCAGACGTTAAGATTCAGAGATTAGAGCAGATGTCAGCCCGTGGAGATGAGAGCGCTTTCACAGATCTATGCCATCCAGATGGAGCTTTCCTATAAACCACAGTTTCCCAAAGCAGGGCACTCCGTCCCCCAGTGGTGCACGGGACCCTGTGTGGTGGGTCGGAGCCCTAAGTAACACTGATGTCATGCTGAAAAAGTTGGTCTCTTTCCAATTCTTTTTTTTTTTTTTTAGATTTTATTTATTTATGTATTTGTCAGAGAGAGAGAGAGAGAGAGCATAAGCACGGGGAGCGGCAGGCAGAGGGAGAAGCAGTCTCCCCGTTGAGCAGGGAGCCCGATGCGGGACTCGATCCCAGGACCCTGGGATCGAGGCCTGGGCTGAAGGCAGATCCTTAACCAGCTGAGCCACCCAGGTATCCCTCTAATTCTTTTTTTGATTTGTCTATTCCTTAAATAGTTGATGTGTGATGTATGCACTTTGTACACATTTCAGAAGAGTATGCTTCTCCCATCTCTGGCCACAGGTTCTCCTTTTTTGAAACGACCATTCTTACCAGTGTCTTGTGTATTTATGTTTTATGCATCTATAAGCACATAAATTCATAGAGCCTCTTTTTTTAAAGATTTTATTTATTTATTTGAGAGAGAGAGAGAGAGCACGTAAGAGCAAGCAGGGAGAGGAGCAGAGGGAGAGGGACGAGCAGACTCCACGCTGAGCTCAGAGCCTGAGTCGGGGCTCAATCCCATGACCCCAAGCTCACGACCTGAGCCGAAATCAAGTGCCAGACGCTTGGCTGACTGAGCCACCCAGGCACCCCCATATACCTCTTTTAAAAAAATTAATGGAAGCATGCCGTACATGACTGCTCTGTTCCTTGCTTATTTCACCATACATATCAATGAGTTCCATGTAGGACATATAGAGCTGCCTTGTTCTTTTTAAAGACTGCATCCTATACCATCCTATACCATTGTGTGGCTAGTATGTAATTTAGTATGTATTTAGTATGTAATTGGTCCCCTACTGATGGGCTTACCTGTTTCCAACCATTTCCTATGACAAGAATTGTTGCCTTGTACCTATTTCATTTTGCATATTAACTAATCCATGCATTAAGCGAAAATTTACTGGTCACATATTCTACACCAGGCCAGCTTTAGGCACTGGGGGTAGAGCCATGAACACAAAGACCCCTGTCCTTGCATCATGGAGCTGCCATTCCATAGTAGAGAATAGATATAGGCTTAAATCCCCGGAAGTGGGTCACACTTTCTGTCAATCCTTCCAATTAAGTCAAGAAGAAGGTCTCACTTTGGTGGCAATGTGTCTTTAACACCTTTTTCCTAACACTTGTTAATCTTTTTGAGACAGAGTATTGGTCTAAGGATTAGAGTTTTTGGCAGACCACAGAGCCTAGCTAGAGTTTAATAACCATGTTTGGTTTTTATTGGATTTATTTTACATAGAAAATGATACTGATTTTCGTCTATAGTCAAAAGATGAAGGTTCCTTTCAAAGTATCTAGGTTCCTGGGGCGCCTGGGTGGCTCAGTCAGTTAAGCGGCTGCCTTTGGCTCAGGTCATGATCCCAGGGTCCTGGGATCAAGCCCCACATCGGGCTCCCCGCTCGGCGGGAGGCCTGCTTCTCCCTCTCCCACTTCCCCTGCTTGTGTTCCCTCTCTCGCTGTATCTCTCTCTGTCAAATAAATAAATAAAATATTAAAAAAAAAAAAGTATCCCGGTTCCTTTCAAGAGAATCTAAGTTTAAAAAGAAAGATGAGTCAACTTTGAGAAGAATGTTAAGTAAATATTAATAACATAGGTGCAATTCAGAGATAACCCCATGAAGGTGATATTCAAATGACCAATGTGAGGAAATCACTGATGTAAACAGAACACGAAGAGAAGATGAGGCTCTTCATGCTGTATTTGATGTTGAGTTTTGTATCCTCACTCATCTTTGGTGTTGAAATGGTCTTGCCTCCCTATTTCTTCCTAGGCAGCTTATTTATTTATCATTTATGATTTGCTTCAATTTCACGGAGTTTCTGGTTACAAAGGTTTGCTTATGTTTGTGTGTGTGCATGTGTTTTAATAAACTGCTAGCAATTTGCATTCCCTCAGAAAATCTCTTTCATTTGAATTCCCCAGATGCCTGGGGGCCTCTTTGTCATTGCTGGTTCTGGAGATATTTGGAGACGCCCCTGCTAGGGGTGCTCATGCTCAGCACTTAGTCAGATATTCATAAGCTGGCTGAGACTTGCTCAGTCAATCTCTTAAAATATACTTCGATGAAATAACCCAACCCAAGTAGGCCTTTGAGGAGATTTTGAAGCCAGAACCTTCTGAACAATTCCCCAACCACGACTGGGTCTGCAATCACCCACAAGCTTGTTAGCTCAAGACGCAATTAGCTCGGCGGTTACAAACGTAAACAAAAGCGCATTTCACAAATGTGCCCTTTATGCCAAGTAGGTGATAGCAAGTCTCTACCAGTGGTTGTCAGCTGCAGTCAGAGGGCGGGCGTACCTCAAGGCCCTGTGGCAGGGAACCTCTGTGATGGGAGAGAAGAGGGGCCAAGGTTAATGGAGGGGTGAGTGGGGGGGGCAAGCAGAGCTATAGGCAATGAAGGGGCATCTGGGACCTTGGAAAATGAGAAACAACAAAAAGTAAGGCCATCTGTTAATGGTTAAATCCTTGAGCTTTGAAATTTGGTGGAGATTGATTGCTAATAATTGATTACTGAGGACCTACCATGGCAGAGGCACTGACTGAAACATTTTCTAAGTGCTAACTCAGTGGTTCTCAAACTTTCTGGCTCACTCTTAAATATTTTTGAGGACCCCCGAAGAGCTTTTGTTTCTGTGGATTATATCTGGTGGTATGATGTTGAACAGCTGGTTCTCTGGGGGGAAAAAAATCCTCATTGGTAGCATATGCCAATTCCCATGGTGTAAAGTCCTCCACTGTAGCCAATTTCGAGATTCCAGCTTAACATAACGGAACATGGGGCGCCTGGGTGGCTCAGTCGGTTGAGCGACTGCCTTCGGCTCAGGTCATGATCCCGGAGTCCCGGGATCGAGTCCCGCATCGGGCTCCCTGCTCGGCGGGGAGTCTGCTTCTCCCTCTGACCCTCCCCCCTCTCATGTGCTCTCTCTCTCTCATTCTCTCTGTCAAATAATAAATAAAATCTTAAAAAAAACCCAACCAAACAAAAAAAACATAACGGAACATGAAATGGGATGATGTGTGCATGATAACTCTCCCAAGTCAGGCGAGCTGATTCAGAACACTGCTGGAACGTTTAGCTACTACTTAAGGTGTTGGAAATTAAAACTGAGGAAATTTAAAAATACGCAATTCATTAAAAATATGAATAACCCATTACATGTAAATATAAATAACATTCTTTGTGAAAAAACTGGATTTTCCCAAATAAAAAAAAATCTTTATTGAGAAAAGTGAGCTTGCTTTTTTATATTTTTGCAATTCTCTTTAATGTCTAGTTTAATCAAAGGCTCCTGGATTCATACATCTTCTGCATTCAATCTGTTGTGATGTCAGACATCGTATGGTCTCTGGAAAACATTGCAGAGCAATAAAGGCAAATAATGTCTCACTATTGCTATGAAAATTGTTTTGGTCTTTTGGACCCCACCCCCCAACAAAGGGTCTTGGGGCCTTCCAGAGGTCCTGGGATCACACTTTGAGAACCGCTGTCCTAATGCATTTAATTTTTCCAAACATCCCAACGAGGCAGGTTTCTTATTATCCTGACTTTACAGATCAGGAAACTGAGGCACAGAGAAGTGAAATAACTTATGGGGGGGGGGCACTTAGTGAGAAAGTGGCAAAATCAGGATTCAAACAAAGTCAGTTTCTAGAGATGGGATTGAGTTGGTGATTGTCACTTAACTAGATGTGTGTGTGATCTTGGGGAAAATGAGCCTCTCTGAGCCTGAGGTGTTGCCATAACATCCATAACCCATCGTCATCCCCAATTTGGGTTAGACTTCACTTTCCCTCACTCTCAGGTCTTACTCACGGGTCCCTCATCTGTGCTTACTTAGAATTCTCTTTTTCTGTCCACATGATGCTTTATCCCACACGATTGTGGCATTGTTTAGTTGTCCCCATTGGATTGCACTCTCCATGAGGGCAGACACCAGGTCTACCTTGTCTCATCAGGATCTGGAACAGGTGCTTGAAAATCTGCTGAAGGAAGAAATGAGTAAATAAATATGCATTGAGACTTCGCATGAAGGCAGGCTACAGTCGGTCCTACCCAGAGTTCTGCCCTGTGGCTCCAGGGAGACAGGGAAGGAGGAGTGGGGAGGGGGCTGTCGTGCATCATCATAATCACAGGTCAGACCACAGGCTAAGAGAAGCCACCTCCTGAATTCTCCAAAGCAGTTCAGATCACCCACTTTCTGCCTGGACTCACTTCTTACTCAATCTTCCCATCACTCAGCACTCAGACACTCAGCTGAGCAGTCCCTCCAGATGGTCTTCATCCTTCTAGAAAATTCAACATCTCTGCCCTATGCTGCTGGGGGTGGGAGAGGGGAACTCTTTGCTTTTTTCCCTTCATAGCCTGGGTTCCTGCCACTGGCACCTGATTAATGGCTGCATTTCCGGAGGCTGGGGACCCTGAGGAGATGCAGCCCGGCAGGTGGGGCCAGTTAGATGGAGGCCATCTCCCTGGGCTTGGAGCCGGTCAGCTTCCTCTTTCACTATCTATAACGGTCCTTTCCAGCAGTGACCTTCTAGGATTCTCAGAAACCGCTGAGAAGTGTAATTGTGGGGGAAGGGAGCAGGCAGTGCAGAGACAATCAACCCAGATTCTGCCTGGAAGGTCATGGGACTGAGCCCTGGCACCGGAGACCTTTAAGAAGCAAAAAGGAACTGAGAAAACAGCCAGGAGTTCGCCTAGCCTGGAGTTCCTGGAATTCTGCTTTGTGTGTGAGCTTCCCGCGGCAGCCAAGGCCCCTCTGACTAACAGGAGATGGGGATGGGAGGCAAGAGGGTGGGCGGGGAGGTGGCTTGGCCTGGCAGCTCGCCTGGGCACTGCCAGCTCAGGGGATGGGCTCCAGGTCTCCTCCAGGGGCCAACCTGGGTCTCCAGAGAACCTCACCCGTGAAGGTGGTGGCTGCCCGAGAGCTGTGCAGGTCAAGTCTACGGGTTGGGTTCTCTTTCCACCCTGGACAAGCTCTCTGCCCACCTGCTCTGGAGCAGGCAACCAAACAGGCTGTTATCTCTAGAAGGCTGGCTTTAAAACCTGACCCTTGGGGCGCCTGGGTGGCTCAGTCGTTAAGCGCCTGCCTTCAGCTCAGGTCATGATCCCGGGGTCCTGGGGTAGAGCCCCGCATCGGGCTCCCTGCTCTGCAGGAAGCCTGCTTCTCCCTCTCCCACTCCCCCTGCTTGTGTTCCCTCTCTCGCTGTGTCTCTCTCTGTCAAATGAATAAAATCTTAAAAATAAATAAGTAAATAACTAAAACCCGACCCTTATTCAGGAAGGAACAGCTGACTCCACCTACACTCTTATGATTCAGTAGTTGTCATCCTGAAAGACACTGTGAGCCCGGCTGGGGCCACAGGACTGATGGATTTCCATTGGACAGGGAGGAGGAGGGAGTGGGAGGAGCGGTGAGGTTGGGGTGTGGGTGTGAGTTCTTAGGAAAAGGTACAATTGGGATCAGAGCCACCCCTGAGGGTGCGGACAAACCTAAGGATCCATTTCCTCCCTCCACCCAACATTAGAGCGAGTGAAGTCTTGCTAAAATAAAAACCAAGGGAGCTTTGGTGTACCATTGCATCCTCATACTGCATCACAGTCATTCACCCGTCTGTTCCTTGCTCTAACTTGTGAGCTTCCAGAGGACAGAGGGCGGGGTTGTACTCACCTCTGTATCCCAGATGCAGGCCCTGGGCCTGACACACAGGGCCTGACACACAGGGACGGCTCAGTAGGTATTTAGGTATTACATGAATGAATGAAGGAGGGAGTGAATGAATGAGTGAATGAAACCACAAACACAAAAACCCGTAGTCAGGGTAAAATGTCATTGGGAGGAGCTAAATGCAAAAGCAGTTGATTGGGATGGGTTTGTGGGGGGGGTACCCATGTCCTGCTGTTACTTTTCCTTCAGAGATTCAGAGAAACTTCTCTCCACAACCCCCCCACCCCCCGCTGCTTTGCTGCTTTGCTCTCTAAATGCTCAGATAATGTGGTTCATTCATCCATTCAACAAATATTTACTGAACACCTGCCATGACAAGCCCTGGGCTGCATGACTGGGAATGAAGGAGACCCGCACATGGCCTGCCTCAGGAAGCCTGCCCAGTGTCACGAAATAAGTAATCACAATGAGCTGTGACAAGTGCTGGGACCTAGTAGGTCGCACAGAGCTAGAGTGACTATATAATTTAATGTCCCAACTGGAGCACTCTTGACAGTAAAGATGATTGTTGCAGGTTGCGTCCTTTGGGAGGCAGATTCTGAGATGGGGATTCGAGTGCAGAAAGTTTATTAGAGATGCTTTGGGGTCAACACCTGTAGAAAGGAAGGGACCGAAGCCAGACCGGGCAGAGGGAGAAGTTGAGATGTGCCACGATCTCAGTGAAGGCTTCAGCCAACCCCATAGGGAGTTCAGACTCAGATGGCCCTTCAGCATCAGCTCCAGTGTGGGGGTGTGGCTTGGCTTTTATACCATCATGTTGATCCGTCATTGGATACTGGCTGCCTCTGGAAGGAGGTGTGACCTTGGGTGAGGCCATCCCCAAAGAGGGCCAACAGCTGAAAGCGTCTCCTGGCCACTTTCCCAACAACTCGGGATTTGGATGGTGCCTCACTGACCTGCCACAGGCGCACAGATGACAACCAGGCCCAGGCAATAGGCTGTGTCGGGTGTCTATGGTGGGAACACCTGCTGGGGGTTTCAGCTGGAACCCTGTATCAATGCAGGGTGGCATGAAGCTCAGGGCTTGTGCAGCCTGCAACCTCTTCATCGCCAGCTCTCTTCCCTTCCCTTGCCTGTTTCCTCTGCTTTAGAGGACAGTGGGTGGCTTTTGCGTGCGTTCTCTCATTTCACATGCATTCCGCACCCACTTCGGGAGCATCGCATCATTTAATTTGTGGTGAGGTGAGTGTAATTATTTTTCTCACCCCCACATCCAAACTATCAGGAAGTTCTTTCACCATTACCTCCGAAACAGAGCCCCAAACTGTTCACTTTCTCCACCTTCACCACCTCTACCCTAGGGCAAACCACCGTCTCCTCTCTCCTAACTGTTGCCGTTGTTTTGATTTTGAACCAAGATGGCCTACAGCATGGAGCTGCAGGAGGAACGGGTGATAATGCGAAGAAAAAAGAATCAGAAGACCACTGAGGGAGCCTCCAGCAGAGCGCATGAACTCAAAATGCCTGAGAGAAGCCCAAAACATGACATTTGATCTGAAGAATCAGCATATGACCTGAACGTTGAGGATATTCCCTCTTCAGAATAAACTGAAAGGCAGGAGAGACAGTGGTTAGGTCATGGCCCCTGAGGCCAGAGTGCCTGGGTTGACATAACCTCAGGCCAGCGTCTTGACTTCTCTGTGCTTCAGTTTCCTTGTCTGTAGAATGGTGGTAATGATAACAGAACTCTTGGGGCACATGCGAAGTGCTCTTCTGCGCTCCTCAGTATTACCCTGTGAGCTGCCATCTTGGTCTGCGTTCAGCATGGTAGATGTGGCTGTTGGTGCCCTTTCCCGGCCTCATCTCCCTTCCGCTCCTATCCCCAACATGCCCTATCCCCACTCCCACGTGAAGTCATTTATCCATTCGACAAATATTTCTTCAGTTGCTACCCATGCATCAGGCACTAAACTCTTGTTTTATTCTTCTGCATCCCACAAGTATTTGAGCTAATGGGCAGGTGGCCTTGGGCTTGCTTTTGCCTAAATGGGAGTCCCTGTCCCTTGCCATTTCTTCTTCATGCTCAAAGTCACCCAAATGGAAAACCAGCTTCCGTTGTGGCCCAGCTACTACCTCTTGTCCTCCATTTTGGACCTTCAGCTGCTGGTGGAGAATGAGCATCATGAATGACCCCCCTTGAGTGACCCCATGAATGACTCTTCCTCCTGGACCCAAGAAGCCTTGGTGGGAGAGGAAGCCCTTGGCAGCTTGGAACCCCACTCTCTCATGTGGTTGCATTCTCCACCTTGATCCTACCTTGGCCGTGGCCTTGTGTACTCCTGGCCTGTGTCTCCTTTTCCCGGATCCTTCTCCGAATGTCCGGAAAGGGCCTAGAAAGGATGAAGGAAGGGTGAAGTGGAGAGGGCAGGGGGCAGGGCAAGTGGAAGAAAGAAGTGAGGCCCCGGGAGGCAAGAGGGGTTGAAAAGATTGAAGTGTGAAAGGGTGCTGATGATGACATTTGCCATGAATTAATGCATGAGTGCCTCAGTGGGAACGATAGCCCTGTGAAGTCAGTACCCCGGTCGTCCCGTTTTCCAGGGAAGGGGACTGAGGCAAAGACAGGTTATGAAACTCCCCAGAAGCCCACCACGGAGATGGGAGAGCTGGCTGCCCCCCCTGGATGGGGGAGGATGCAGAAGTCCCACAAGGGCTCCCTGAGAAGGACATGCACCGGCATAGAGCCAGCACTCAGTGAACAGTGTTAAATGCATGGTGGTGCCAAGGGGCTGGGGGCAGGCTCTTTACATAAACCCCTGGTGTCTCGTGTCCGCGGGCCCTGGCTAGTGAAGCATCTTATCTCCCCCTCCCAGGAATTCCTCAGCCCCCTTGGTCAGGGCGCTGCAGTCCACCAGCCAGAGGGAAGCTGGATTCCCCAGTTCTGGGTTGGCATCGCCCACACCACTGCAAGGAAGGAGAGGGCTGTGGTGTGGGCACAGCTTGACATCGGTCACTTCCTACCCCTGGGGCCTTAGGGGAGGCAGTTAGCCTCACCTTCCTCGGTCACAAAACAGCAACGTAGGTCCATCCTCCATGTCAAGGTGAAGACGAAACTGTTGGGGGGGGTAGAGCCCCACACAGGGCAGGGAGGCGGTAAATGGATGCAGTTATGGTCGCACCTCTTCACCAGCCCTACTGCGCTCATGGCTGATGAGCTCTTGGCAGTTGACAAAGCTCTTTCCGCTCCCATGTCAGCCTGACTTGGCTCCTCTTAGTGGGTGGGCAGGCACTGCAGAACCTCTGTGTCTGTTTCACAGATGAGCAAAGAGAAGCCCAGAGGCCAGAGAGGACAAGGAAGCCTTGTGGAGGTCTCTGGGGACCTGCGGGGGGCAGGGGGGGGGTGTCAGGAAGAGAGGGCGTCCAGGAGCCCAGTGTGACTGGCCTGCTGTCCCCCGCCTCCCCCAGCCACCGAGCCCATCAGCGCGGTTAGGATCTGTTGGCCCGTAACTAGTCCCCATGTCCCTGTCCAGCAGCAGCCTGACCTCGTTCACTTGGAGAAAAACAGGAAGCTGGACTCTGCCAGGAATCAGAACACACCCTTCCTCAGCCCTGGGCTGCAAGGACGCTGGGGGGCTCTGGGGGCAGGTCACAGGGCAGGGTGTGGGGTAGGGGCTCTGCAGGCCAAGCCAGGGTGGCCGGGGGCCTAGACAGATGGGCTGGGCTCTGGCCAGGCCTTGCTGAGCTCCCCAGGGGCCAAGAGGACGTGGGGAGGTGGGGAACCAGGAACGGGAGCTCTTGGCCTTCCTCTCCCATGTGGGGACAGAATTATGGGGCACCGGGGTCACATATGACTTTTGCCTCCATGGGCCCCTTCTTCTATTAAAAAAAATATTAAAACGTATATTCCACAACTGTATTGGTCTAAAGATGAATATGATTCAGGCTGGACTCGTGATTATGTCTTCATGATCATTTTATCTTGTGGTTTTAAAAGAAATGAAAATGAAAACATTTTCCTGGGCCCCTAACAGTATGGTGGGCCCTGGGCCTAAAGGATAAGTCAGCCCTACGGATGAAGATCCTAGCACTTTCCAGTCCCGCAGAAACCATGTCCCCCCATCGTGGCCACGAAACACAGGGATTAGCGTTCAGAGATCAGATGGGAATGCCGGGCTCAGCCTGGAAATAGAACCTGTTTCCCCCTCTGTAGAATGGGGAAATGAGGGCATCTGCCTCCTGATGCTCTTCTGAGATGATCTTCTGAGAAGTGTCTGGCCCAGGGCCTGCCTCAAGGGAGCCCCACTATTTCCTCACTGGCAACACAGATTAGGCACCTACGGGGTACAGAACCCAGGAAAGAAGGTGGCTTAAGGGAATGCCTACTATTTTATTTTTTTTATTTTTATTTTTTAAGATTTTATTTATTTATTTGACAGAGAGAGACACAGCGAGAGAGGGAACACAAGCAGGGGGAGTGGGAGAGGGAGAAGCAGGCTTCCTGACGAGCAGGAGGGAACGTGATGCGGGGCTCGATCCCAGGACCCTGGGATCATGACCTGAGCCGAAGGCAGACGCTTAACGACTGAGCCACCCAGGCGCCCCACGTCTACTATTTTATATCAGAGTTTAGGGTCATCTTTAATTTTTAACTTTTTATTGGAAAGCGATTTACTACCTTTAAATATGCATAATGTCACAAATAGAAGTGTGGTGAAAATCAGCTGGTATCCGTGTTTGATTTCAGTGAAGAAGATTTAGGCCCGGGATGGAGTCCCAGCCCACGAATGTTGTTTAAGCCCCCAAACTGACTAGTGGGTTGTGTAAAGAGAACTCTTTTTTTTTTTTTTTTAAGATTTTATTTATTTATTAGACAGAGAGAGAGACAGCTAGAGAGGGAACACAAGCAGGCGGAGTGGGAGAGGGAGAAGCAGGCTTCCCCCCCGAGCAGGGAGCCCGATGCGGGGCTCGATCCCAGGACCCTGGAATCATGACCTGAGCCGAAGGCAGACGCTTAATGACTGAGCCCACCCAGGCGCCCCTGGAGAACTCTTTTTTAAGGACCTTGAAGGAGAGCACTGAACTGAATTTCCAGCTGGCAAGGATTGTTCGTGTTAAGGTTCTCATTTCTCTGATGTTTCTGATTAAAACCTCCCAGCTTCTCTGGCTGAGTTAGGTCACTCTGGTCTCGTTATTTCGGTATTTCCTGAGAATCCGAGCTGGGGTTTGCTGCAGATGTGCTCCTCAGCCCGTAACCCATGAGCTCTGTGGGCTAGTGGCCTGAGGTGCCTCTGCTCTAGCCCCTCTTTTGTGGGGTGGTGGGGGGGAAGGGGGTCATGTCAGGGGGGGAAGACAGGTCATCCAACTCACAGGTGCTGAGACGCAGAGTGAGTCCACTTACTCGTTGTCTCTTAATGGCCCTGTCACTGTTCTGCCTGAAACCCTCAGGGATCTCCACTGGCTCTTCCAGGAAAGGGGGGAGGCCCCTGCCTCCTGGCCACTGGAACCAGCCTGGCTCCTTCTCAGGACCCCCTTCCTCACTTCCCGCCACTCTGGCCCTTAAGGGAAGCAGCCCCTGTCGTTGCTCCCAACACTGCCCGCCTGTTGGCCTCCTTCACAGCCTCGGCCTCTGGAAGTGACCTGCTTTTATGTGTTGAGTGTTAGAGTCTTCGAATAGAGTCCATCTGGCCCACTGGGTGGTAAGCTCCCTGAGGGCCAGGCCTCACCTTATCCTCATCCCTGCTCTATCCCCAGCCCACAAGAGGCACCCAGGAAATATTTGTTGAAGCCATTATATATATATATATATATATTTTTTTTTTTTAAAGATTTTATTTATTTATTTGAGAGAGAGAGTGAGAGCACATGAGAGGGGGGAGGGTCAGAGGGAGAAGCAGACTCCCTGCCGAGCAGGGAGCCCGATGCGGGACTCGATCCAGGGACTCCAGGATCATGACCTGAGCCGAAGGCAGTCGCTTAACCAACTGAGCCACCCAGGCGCCGAAGCCATTATTATATTTAAGCATACAGTATTCATCCATGCAGTAATGGATTCAAAAATATTTCCTGGAAGAGAGGCTTCGGAGTCACACAGACCTGCGTTCCTGTCCCATCGAAGCAAGTCTCAGCTTTGTCATTTTCAAAGTGCAGATAAAAATTGCACCTGGCATGGGGCGCCTGGGTGGCTCAGTCGTTAAGCGTCTGCCTTCGGCTCAGGTCATGATCCCAGGGTCCTGGGATCAAGCCCCATGTCTGGCTCCCTGCTCCGTGGGAAGCCTGCTTCTCCCTCTCCCACTCCGCCTGCTTGTGTTCCCTCTCTCGCTGTGTCTCTCTCTGTCAAATAAATAAATAAAATCTTATAAAAAAAAAAAAAGTCGCACCTGGCTTGCTGGGCAGCTGTGGGGAAGGGAGGCCGTGCCCAGAGAGAGACGAGCTGCGGGGATAAGGATTCCCTGTGGTGACAGGGATGGGCGAAGGGGCAGGCCCGGGACCCCCTGTCCCACGATCACACTGTTTTGTTTCCATTAAGGGTGGACATTCATCACAACCACACCTGTACGTGGGTTGATGTCATCCAATTTAGAATGGTTTTATCGCTTTGGTTCCCAAAGTTGGCTGTAGGTTGGAATCAAAGGGGAGTTCAAAAAAAAAAAAAAAAAAAAAAAATCCTGAGGCTGGAGTTCAGTCTTGGAGAGGCTAAGGTAATTGATCTGGGGTGTGGCCTGGACATCGGGACTTTTCAAATGACCCCAGGTGGGGCCCCTGGGTGGCTCAGTCATGGTCTTAGGGTCCTGGGATGCATGCGTGGAGCCCTGCTTCACGCTCCCTGCTCAGCGGGGAGTCTACCTCTCCCTCTCCCTCTGCCCCTCCTGCTCCTGCTTGTGCGCCTGCGTGCTCTCTCTCAAATAAATAAATAAAATCTTAAAAAAAAGAAGAAGAAAAAAGAAAATGACCCCAGGTGATTCCACCATGTAGCCAAGGGTGAGAACTTTGGTCTTGCCCCAGATGTGACTTCGGGTCCTCTCCTTTCCTACCACTCCCTTCCCTCCTGCTTGAAATTCACTTGACGTTGGCACAAAGACTTCCAGGGCACAATTGAGATAAATGGCTTAAAATGCAGATGACTAATTGAGGAGAGAAAGCCACTGAATCTCTTCTTACACGTGTTCTGCTATCAGCTGTCAGATTCTTTTCTGCCTTCCTAGCAGGGAGAGGTCCTGGGAGTGGGAAGGAAAGGAGAGCTAGGATCTGGTGTCTGGAGACCAAGGTCCCAAGCTTTGCCACAATGTAAATATGGAAGTAGCAGCTCCCTCTCCCGCCTAGGGTCTCACTCAGTTCCTCACTCCGTGAAATGACATTCGTTTGAGAGCCAGCATCCTAGAGCTAGGGCCAATTC